TGTTACAGTTGTGTTTTCCATGATATCATTATTACTCTAGATGATGAAATCTGGCTTATGGAATTCAATTTCTTACAGACCAATGGGGTTTTTGCCCATAGTGAGGTATGGTCTGCATTTGTAGTTCAACTGCAGTCCACGAGCCTCTCTATTTTTGTCATAGTCTGTGTGTGTGTTCTTCTTGAATTAGGAGAAGAACAAGAGCCTATCTGTGCACATTCAATGGAATACTTCAATCTAACAGTAGAGATGGGACTAAATGACCTCAAATATCTTGAACAGAATATGAAATATGTGTAGAAAAAGAGTCAGTGTTGTATGGTAACAACTGGCGAGACAGAATGAATCAAAAATAGCCCTATTTGAGGGGGGGGCGGGTAGAGGGGAAGGGACAGAAGGAGAGGGGATGGAGGAGACTAGGAAGACAGACACGAAAAGGAAGGAACAGGAGAGAACACTGGGGAGACTTTAGCTTTTTTGTTAGGTCTGCTCTGCGATGCCAGATGGTAGATATATGAACTGTCAAGGGAGGTTAGGGCATTGTCATGATTGAGTAGGTAACAGAAGCCTGGAGAACACAAGCTGATACACTGACACGATCTGAGCAGGATAGCTTTAAACTTGGCTCCCATATTTCCATTCCTACTCAGTCCATTTGGTGGGGGTTCATTGGCAGAGGATATGAAAATGATTCCCCTGGGATCCTGTGTGCTCTATTTATAAATGTAGGAACTCATGGTCCATCCTAGCACTTGAAGAGGTCTACAGGTTGTCTAGGGGGGATAAAGAACAGAGACATGAGGCCTAGACCCCTTCCCCTTTTAGTAGGCAAATTATTAGAGGCACTAGCCCCTCACCTATGGCTTCTTGGAAATAAGCAGGCAGAGAGCCAGCTTGAAAAGATTCTGATTCATGATCATTATTTACAAGTCATAGAACTGCTTGCTCAACACCTCTCCGCACCAGTTTCTACAGGCTGCAAGACCTGGCTGATCCTTTGTCTGCGTGCTATTGAATTGACTTCATTAGAGCACAAACCTAAGCTGAGGACGGTCCTCACTGGCTTCCAGGTATGTGCCAACATGTGGGCAAGCTTCTGAAGGTAGCAATATCTATTGGGGACTAATTATCCTGGTTGTGAAGCTATAGATACTGTGTATCTTTATTCTTGGGGTTAGAGACATAGCAATGTAGCAGGTTATCAATTATTTGGCTACTTTCCAGCATCAGGGCTGTGAACAAGTTAACTTCTCTGAGGCCTAGTTTTCTCATCTCATGTTGGGATAGCAATGTCTCCTTTTCTGTCTCAGTGAAAGGACTGACTGACTGGGTGAGTTACTGCATAGCATGGAAGGACCTGCTATGGGTTAGATCCTTAGTAGTGTTTATGATGACTAGGAGTAGGCAGTACAGTTTGGATGGTCAACTCTTACTGCATTCAATATCACAAGTGCAGGGACAAAGGTGCTCATTCATCCTATATCAAGTGCCTGGCACACGGACAGCCTTTGATAAGTAGTGGTTCCATAAATCAGCAGCTGAGCTTTATTTTTTTTTAAATAGCAATACTAAGGAGCTTATAGTTTTACCTGGGGTTGAGGTTAAATTGAAATGGAAGAAACTAGCTCACCCCTGTAATCCTTGCTACCCAGGAGGCTGAGATCTGAAGATTGATGCTCAAAGCTATCCTGGGCAGGAAAGTCCATGAGACTTTTCTTGAGTTAGGCTGGAAGTGGAGCTATGGCTCAAGTGGTAGAGTGCTAGCCTTCACCCAAAAAGCTCAGGGACAGCGACCAGGCCCTGAATTAAATCCCTGGGACTGTAACATAGACAGATACACACACGCGCACACACACACACACACACACACACACACACGAAATTCTCCTTCTTATTAGTGTTTTATACCTTTGTCTAGTATAAGGAACAATCACTTATTTCAGGATATAAATACTTCACAGACTCTAAAATTGATGACATGTCATCTTGTAAGGCAGAGATCAACAAACTTCAGTGAAGAGCTGGGTCAGCTCTAGACACACACACACACACACACACACACACACAGCTGCTTTGCAGCTTCTCAGCTCTGCTGTTTGAGAGCAAAGGCCATAGACAGTAGTAAGCCAATGAGCAGGATGCTTTCCAATATAACTTTATTCAGCAATGGACTGAATTTAGCCCCCGGGGTGTAATTTTTGAATCCTGCTTTGAAGGCTGAAGTCCCGACTTACAGTGTGGGAAAGAAATACATGTGATAAAGACTTGGATAGGAAATGAAAAGTTTTTGTAAGACTACTATGTAAGTATATTAATGGCACAAATAGATACCTAATACAGAAGATAGAAAACCACATTATTTTGACAGGTGAGCTCGTTGAGGTTTAGGAGGTCCCCGGCGACAGCTGTTAATCAGTTAGCTCTGTCTGGGCCTTCCTGTCCTCTCGGCTAGCTCATTGCTGGTCTGCCTTTGATCTTCAATCTCTGTCATATTTGAGCAGGCAGTTGACTTTATTTCCAATCCTAGAAGCTTCAGTTTGAGATCTGAAAAAAAAAAGAAAAAAAAGATTTTATGGGGAAAGCAATTAGTGGGGCTTGAACTCAGGGCCTGGGTACTGTCCCTGGACTTTTTTGCTCAAGGCTAGTGTTGTATCACTTTGACCCACAGCACCAGTTCTGGTTTTCTAGTGGTTAATTAGAGGTATGAGTCTCTTGGACTTTCCTGCCCAGCCTGGCTTCAGACTGCCATCTTCAGCTTCCTGAGTAGCTAGGATTACAGGTGTGAGCCTCTGGAGCCTGGCTTGGTGATTACAAGGTTTAAAACAAGTTTATTGTGTTGTATGTAGTCTTTATTATTTTGTTATTTCTTACTTAGTGGATTTTTTTGCTATTTCTTAATGAACAGAATTTTCAGTCTTATTTTGGAAGTTATATGACCAGGCTTTTAAGTTCAGGGAAAATGACAGAGAAGAGATAAATCTCCTGTCTTTAAATGGGAGATATATTTTCCTTTCTTTAAGTATGAGATATATTTTCATTAGATGATACTGTTTATGCCAATACTTTCCTTTTTGATTCCGCAGTCTTGAGATACAAAATTTGGCATGATGTTTCTTCTATGTAATATTTCAAATATACTGCCTTTATCAGTGGGAGCCTTTAAAAAAAGCAAACTGCCTTGTGTTAGAATGACAAAGACTTTGATGAGTGAGTCATTCTGGCATCCTTGACTATTTTTTTTTATTTCAGGCAGAAAATTGGTTAATTTATTGGCTTATAATTCATAATGAGTCATATATGTTCAGGAGGAATTATCTATACTGGATGGAACAGAAGCAATTTTTACGGTCTCTTCACACAGAGTTTTTTTTCCTTGCTTGCCTTGAATAGCACTGGCAGGTTAGGTGAACTCTGGAAATTCCTTCAAACTCCAGTGCAATTCTCTGGTGTTTGAAGTCATGGGATGGAAAGGATCTTTTCAGTTGCTTGAATGGGATCATATGAGCAAAGTGCCAAATGGTGCTTGGCATATGGTAATGTCTAAAGAGTACCTCCTTCCTCTTTAAGCTACCAAATGTAGATACATTTAGTGGCAGATTTCATCATACTGAATAACTACACCACACCAAAATTTTAAGCTTGTAAGGCACAGTCATCTGTAGCCAAATCTTTGTTGGATTATTTGAGAGGATCCACAGATGCAATCTTAGATAATCAAATAAGCTTTGAATCTGCTGAGGTACCTAGAAGTGCAGTCCAATATCAACAGCCAACAATAATGCAAGTGACAATCTGAAAATCCACGGGACCATGGAAAATCCATCCTGTTCTGATTGTAACGAGTACTCTCTTTAACAGAAACTGAAATAATGAACCACCAAAATAAACTGTTAATTGATTCACATTTTAACGTTCTTATCCCAGACAATGACTAGACTGGTTTTTAGAATTTTATGGAAACATTTGGAGGGGGGAAAACCCCACATCCTCATTTTCAAGGGATTGTGCTGTGAATAATATTAACAGCACATTTGTTTACTGAAAATGAAGAAAATCCATGTTTAGGCACTCATGTCCATTGACTGATATCTTGTCTTAGAATAACAATGTTTACTTCTTCATGAGTGCTTTAGCTGCATAAGGAGTTTATATTCTCCAAAACAAATTTTCTTTCATGAAAAATATTTTCTTCAGAATTTGTCTATATCTGCTGCACATATTTGCACAAGATTGGTGCCTGACCAGAAGTTCACCTTTCTGGAGACATTGGTGGAGTCAATCAATTTCCCCATTCCCAATAAATTGTTTCTCTTCTAGAAAGTTTATTCTTTTCCCTCTCGGTCTCTGTTTCTCTTGTTTTCTCTTTCAGCATGCTTTATTAATTCCCATTCTCTGCCAGCCAGTTATTCTAATCAATAATCAAATAATAACTCCCTTCCATACCTGTGGCTACAAGGAAAAATCTTCACAATTTTCAAAGTAGCTAAAAACACACTTTGCAAGTTCCCTGTAATAACCAGATAAAGAAGCTCAAAATAGCTTAAGTTCAAATGGTTATCTAACACAATGAATACATAATGTAAAACATCTTTGCTTTGCTTTGCTGTAGAATTTGGAGCAAAATGTGCAGATGGAAAACCATTTTAAGGACTCTTTAAAAGCACTAGTTAGGTTTCGCTGGAGTATTAGCTCAGTGGGAGAGCTCTTGCCTAGTAGGTTTAGGGCCCTGAGTTCAATTCTTAGTATCATATGAAGAAAAATAAAAAGGCCCAGGTAGAAGGAGCATAGAAAATATAAGCACAGTATGTGAAACATTTAATTTGTTTGAGAACATACTGTTTTTTTAAAACAGAATCAGCAGCTCTTTCCTTTTCCCTTCCATCAATCAAAGACAATATTAGCCTAGATTCCAACCTGGCATTTGGAAAAGTGCCATGGTGGGCGGGCAGCATCAATATAGTTCCAGTCCTGAGAGGGTGTGGCTTGAAACTTAACCGGGCCAGCTGTCAGCAGCAAGTCTGAAGGCAAGAAGGTAAATTCTCACATTGCCTAACATAATTTATTTTAAAACAATGAACACTGTATTGGAAGATTATTTTCCACCATAGAAACTCAAAGGAAATATGATTTCAACTAGAGAATATGCTATTTTTATTAACTCAAATGTCTTAAAAGAAAGAGTAAGTTGTTTTCCGATGCCTTAGATTTCCTGCAGATGTGGTGATACTGATTAGAAAATATGAATAATGTCTCTTGCTTCGCTTAGCCTCAAACCCATGGTCAGATGTCTGATGGATGTGATTGATTTTTTTTTTAAAGATAGGATGCTTGAATCTTTTTTATACCATGACATATTTTTACAATTGGATTTCATCTCTTAATGCATTGCTTTTGACATGTGAAACTGTATGATATTTAAGCAACATAAATTTCAAGGCCTCTTTTGAACTGTAAGTTAGAAAATATTTGATACTACTTTTCACAAATGCCTCCTTGTTTTCAGAGATTATTATCTAGTTTTATATAACTTGGTTTGAATATTTATACCAGCAGAATAGCATTTACCTGTGTAAAGCTGGGATTTCACTCTTGAGTTATTAGAAGTTTTGTGGAAATTGTAAGATCTGATGTATTTGGGGGTATTTTTTCTTTCTATTTGACATAGGAATGAACAATTTCATTCAGAATATTTTAGGTAGTGAGAGCATGTAGGTAGTGTAAGTTTTTACATTTGTGCTTTAGAAGGAACCATATTATAATAAATGAACTGTTTATAGTAGAGTAGAAAATTAATAAGTAGCTGATTCTACTGTGTAATATTTCTACTGATTACAGCTTATTATTGTATATAATGTTTAAATAATTAATCTACTATTTCAGATGTTTGATTTATTGGAGAACAAGGGGCATATAATAAATAAATCCTCAAATGCATCTTAATTTTTCTATGGGTTACCATGTGTTCTTTACTGGTAAGGTAAAGAAAAACGATGAATAAAAACATTGAACCTCTTCTTCGGACAGGAGTATAAAAAACTTGTATAATAAGAAAATTTAATAACTAATTTAAGCATAATGAGGAATAGCTTTCTTCATCATAGTGTACTAAGGAAAGCAGTACAACATAAATGTAGTTAGCCTATGCCACTAATAATCGACTAATTAATGCGTACAAAATAACAATCTACCAATAATCTGTTAATTGGTGACATCTACTCTTTGGGAGGGGATGGACATGACAGGAGCTATGGAAGTAATTTTAAACAGTTTTGTAAAGCATAAAATATGCATATAATATGAGATCTTCCTAACAACCAATCAATAAGTTACTACAGCAGATGATCGATAAATGCATTAAGAGACAACTACAGGGAAATCTAAAGACAGAAAAGAACACATGGCCAAATGTTAGCAGGTATCAATGAAATGTCAATTAAAAGTACTATCACCTTTTCTAACTTTTGAAATGGTCAAGAATGCCAAGCAGTGATATTATCTATAGATGGTGAGATTGTGATGCATTTGTTCCATCTGTAGCTGGGATTATTGTATGAAAGTTTAAAACCCTATAACATTTGGCCTAGAAACCCAAGGTTGAAAAAGATATCCTAAAGAAATAATATGGAAGAAATTAAGATCTAGATTTATGAAGATGTTCATTGTAGTATTTTTCTATTAAACACAGTGGTAGCTTTCTATAGAATGAGACAATGTTGAATTCCCATACATACTCAAGATATATCTTTATCTTTTTCTAGATCTATATGTCTATAAATAGATCTATAAATACTTAGATCTATCTATATGTCATCTATCTATCTATCTATCATCTATCTTGGGTGTGTATGTTTAGAAATGAGAATTGTTTGCCTATTGCCCTGAACTCATTCGTTTTTTCTCTTATTGTTTTAGGTTGTCATCACTTTTACAATGGATTCCCTTATAGCTGCAAACACCAAATTTTGCTTTGATCTTTTCCAAGAGATTAGCAAGGCTGATGGTCATCAAAACATATTTTTCTCCCCTCTGAGCCTCTCAGCTGCCCTTGGCATGGTCCGCCTGGGAGCACGCAGTGACAGCGCACTTCAGATCGATGAGGTACATATCCACGGAGGTGCGGTATGAGGTCCCGAACCTTCAGAGTAAGACACTCACCCTGCGCTCAGAGGAGTTGGGTTGTTCCCTGCATTTTCAGGGCCTTCTGACTCTGAGCCTTTATTTGTATCCTTCCTCCCTTCCTCCCTTCCACTGAAGTATATTCAGAATGCAGGTACTTGGCACCACCTTCCTGAGCTCTGAGCTACCCATATCTCTTCTAACCTGCTACTGTGCAGCTCTGACTAAGATCCTTTCACATTGTAAGCAGATCCTGTTTATCAGCTCCTTGAAAAACCAGACTTCTCTTTGAGCCCACAGTGAGCACATACGTCTTGCCAATAGCTCATGTGACCTGGGGATTTGATCCCAGACACACCCCGTTTCTCCATCTTTTACTTTACTTTGCTGCCAGTCATACTGATCTCTTTGCTTCCATGGGAAAGCCACATACTCTTGCCTAGGGGACTTTGTTTGGGTCCCTTTGCCTGATGGCTTTCAGACACCCAGTCTCTTAGATAACTTTATCTTTGAAGCCCTTGCTCAGTGTTTACCACCTCTGAAAGGTCCACTCTGACTTACCAATCCAATGCCCCAGCCAGGCTCCCAGTCCTGGACAGATTCCTGGACATGCTCTCCATGTGGCATTTTTCCATTTACCACACGCTGCACACCAGTGACCAGGCACCTTGTTCTTCTGTGCTTCCTTCTCTAGAATGTGACTCCTAAAGCAGAAATCGTTGTCCTAGCTCAGCGTTTGGCCTAGAATGAAAGCGACACAAACAGCTCCCCACAGAAACTATAAGCTCCGGAGGCTGCTCTCTTATTTCCTTAGCTTTTGCACCTAACACAAGGGCCCAGCATGAATGAAGCTGTTGTTCTAGAGTGCAGAGGAGTTAAATTCAAGGGCTGAGGTCGAATGTGTTTGGCGTCATTATGACTTAGGTATCTCCTTAGCCTTGCTGGAGTATTAGTGTTATGTTCTTGGCCGTAGAACATGCATTGGATCTTTCAGGTGCAATTGATGATCTTTCTCCAGGCATTCAGTAGTCAGAAGGCGGTGGTGTGCACCATCCCACTCCCTTAGTGTGAGCAGCACAGGATACTCCATTCCCCCCCACAAGGCTGTGGACAGCTTGGGTGCCATCCCTACTCTCCCAATGTACTTGAAATTCTAGATTACTACTGTCTTCCACAAATACGATTCAAGCCACATACATAATTAAAAGAATTTTCGTAGCCACATTAAAGAGGTAAGATAGATAAGAATAGTTTTAATCCTCAATGCTCCTTGGTCTCCCATTTCTAAACTATTATCATGTAATCAACAGAAAATGTTTCACGTGGTATTTTACATTCATATTGTGCGTATTAGCTGGTGCACACTTTAGGCTTATTCTAGCCAATTTGGACTGGCCATGTATCAAGTTCTTGAGAGCTACATGTAGCTCATGGATTTTTTTTTCTGTTCTTTTAGTCTGGCTATGTTAACTCAGTCCCAGGAGAAGAGGGATTTCTGTTACTTCCTTTCTATCCACCTAATAATCCAAGGAAAAAAAAAAGGAACATGTCTTTAAGCTTGCTCTGTGAACTATGCAAGCACCATCATTGTCATTTTTTGTGACAATGATCTAGATGTGAAATGATCTAGATGTCCCACCGTTTGTGTCGTCTGAGGGACCCTCTCCCCTTGTCACGCAGGTACTCCACTTCAACGAACTTTCCCAGAATGTAAGCCAAGAACCCGATCCTTGTCTAAAAAGCACAAAAGAAGTGCAGGCCGAAAGCTCCCTGGAAGGGCAGAAAGGGAAGACATCGGATCAGCAGGTGAGCTGCACCTCTCATTGTCCTCTGCCAACTGCTCTTTCTGCCTGCCCGTACTGGGTAAGGTTGCCTCGTCCCTCTGACTAAGTCATATTAATCATCTCTCTTTCTAATTGTATTTTGGTATGGTCTTGGATGTGAGTTCCTTCCTTCCTTCCTTCCTTCCTTCCTTCCTTCCTTCCTTCCTTCCTTCCTTCCTTCCTTCCTTCCTTGTTTGTTGTGGGGCTTGAACTCTGGGCCTGGGCGATGTCCCTCAGCTCTTCAGCTCAAGGCGATAGCTCTATTGCTTGAGCCACAGTACCACTTCTGGTTTGCTGTTGGTTTCTTGGAGATAAGAGTCTCACAGACTTTCCTGCCTGGGCTGGCTTTGAACATGATCCTCAGATCTCAGCCTCCTGAGTAGATAGGATTACAGGCGTGAGCCACCAGCACCCGGCTGTGAGTTAGTTTCTTCTTCTTCCTTTATTTTTTTGCTCATAGAGTTAATATATTTTTTAATAAGTTTTTTATTGTGAAAAAACCATACAGAGGGGTTACAATTACATGAGCAAGATAGTGAGTACATTTCTTATCAAGCATTGTTGCCTCCTCCTTTGTTTCCTCTTACCATCCCTTCCCTTCCATCCATGCCCCCCCCCCCCAGCCAAAGTTGTAAAGTATATTTTTCAACATAACGTCTTGTACATTTCATTGTTGCAATGGGTCCATCTGTATCCCTATTTAAACAATTTTTTCCCTTCCCCTCCCCAAATTATACCAACATCAAATACAGTGAAAACAGGGGTTAGTTATACCGTGGGGGAGGGACATACAAAGCAACAAAGAAATCATCTTATAAATATGTTAGAAACAATAGCAAGCAAGAAAAACCATTTGAGTCCTTATCTTAGGATTCATTTTGCCTACCATCAATTTTATCTGACTGTTTCTGCTTGTCTCAGACATATACTAGTTATTGCAAATAAGGGAAACCATGGGACCTATGTCTCTTTGGGCCTGGCTGACATTGTCCCATTTATTAAGAAATGGAAAGACTTGGAAAAAATGATTTTAAATGAGTTAGTTTCTTAATGAGAAGACATTGCTGTCTTCCTCATGATAAAGAAACCTTGACCTCAGACCTTGTTATCACCTGTGTCTTCAAGTCATAGCTCTCCAGATGGGAATGGTCAAAGGGAAGGGGAAGGCTCGGGGTCACTGTGGAATTCTGGCTCTCTCTTGCCTTTTGTCTATTTTGTTTAGAAAGCTGCTCACACACACACAGATCAGACAGCTCATGGTTTCTTAGACCAGGAGGTGGAGAGATTTTCCCCAGGTTATCTCTACCTTGGAAAGTTGGAGAAGAGAGTGGACAGATGATTAGTTTTCTTATATCTTTCTTTTTTTTAGCAGAAGAAAATATGGCAGAGCTTTACTGAGCAAACAGGGAAGCAGAACAGACCAGTAGACAATCAGACAGAGAGGCAGAGATACACTCACACACTGTGGGGGCTCTTGAAAGGAGACATAGCGACTATCTTATATCTTTTTGAATACAGGGCAAACCAAAGACTCCTCAGTAAAAATACCCTGTGTAGTGCCAGATACCATCTATGCTTTCCAGGGAGGATCCAATACCGCAGCCTCGCTGTGGGTCACTCTCAGTCTCCACAGAACCACACCGGGAAATGACATGGCCCTGGGTGACTCCAAGTTGTGCAAAAACCATTCTCCTTTTCACCTCGTGTAGCCTTTCTCCTCGCCCTGCTCCAGATGACAGTGTGTTTCTTCTTTTGTTAGGCTGAATCTTCAAAAGGCGACAATCAACTGCTGAGCTGCTACTTCGGGAAACTTCTCTCCAAATTAGATCGGGTCAAAGCGTATTACACCCTTAGTATGGCCAACCGGCTCTACGGGGAGCAGGAATTCCCCCTCTGCCCGGTGAGTCGCCCGTGGCTGGTGATTAGACGGCCATGGAACGGATAGCACGAAACTCTCTGCCAGGACGCTGTGCCTGGCGGGGTCTCCAACCCACCTCTGCCCCAGATGTTTGTATGCGTCTACTCGGTTTTCAACTGGGCTGAAGCTGCCCTTGTCGATGGCAGAGAGCGGTGGGCAAGGGGCCTGAGTCGGAGAGGGCTGCGTCGCGGCCCGTTTGTGACTGCCTTTCCCAACCAAGGCGCCTGGGAGGCACATCTCTGCTGAGTGGCTGCCCTCAGGTCATTCTCTAAAATTTCCTTTTGTGCCACGATCGAGGCCTTAGGGGAACCTCGGTGGCCCGCAGGCAAGATATGCTGTGGCCAATAGAGGCCCCAGTGCTAGTCAGAAGCCACAGGTCTTGCCCCTGTGGAGTAGGAGGACCCTCTGTATGGGCTGCTGTGTGTCCAGAAAGAGCAGCGCACCAAGCAACGGAGGTGAACGAGTGAACCCAGGCCAGGATGCCACCCAGGCAATCCTGGGAGCGAGGGGCCAGCAGAACCTACTTTGCACCAAAGTGTGTTCTCCTACTCCATATCCCAGGAGGAAAATACAGATTTAACAAACTCACATATCACAAAACACAATAGTTTTGGTATATAGTATCATTCACTGAAAAAATACGGTAAAATACATATACCAAAATTTGCTATTTTACCCTCCCCCGACCCCCCTTTTTTTTCTAGTGGGGGGTATTGGAGTTTGAATTCAGGGCTTGGCATTTGTTAGGCAGCTGCTCTACTGCTTGAGTCTCACTCAACGCAAGGCCTTTTTGCTGTGGGTTTTCTTTGAGACAGGATGTCTCTTTTTACACCTGCCAGGTCTGGACCACAATCCTCCGTTTATGCTTCCTGCATGGATGCCATGTGCACACCACGACCATGCTCAGCTTTTTCTGTTGAGATGGGGTCTTGTACAAGTTTTGCTGAGGTTGTCCCCAAATTGCAACTCTTGCAATCTTCACATCCCAGTAGCTGGGGATTATAGGGGCAAGGCACCCATATTACCTAGGACAGATTTACCTGGACCTGTTATATGCAACTTCCTTACAATTGCTTGAGTTCATGATGCAAGAAAGAGTCAAATGGGTGACAAGAAAAATTCAAATATAGGAAAGTTCTCCTACAACCAGTTTATAACTTCAGATTTTCCACTTAGAAATACAATCTATGCTAAAATAAAGAACACTGTGGTCCCTCTGAAAGAATGTAGTGTTTATAACTATACATTAGTAATAACTGATTATGTTTTTCAAAACTAGGACTGGGGCTAGATGGAAAAGGAAAGGCTACTTCTCAGATAATATGTGACCCCAAACATCTATCCCATTAGACTGCTTACAACTGAGTTACTCTAACCCATTAGCAGATCTACATAATTTTGTTGTGCTGTATCCCACTTATTTCAATCAAACAGGAATATGTAGATGGTGTGATTCAATTTTACCACACAACGATTGAAAGTGTTGATTTTCGGAAAGACACAGAGAATTCCAGACAAAAGATCAACTTCTGGGTTGAAAGTCAATGTCAAGGTAAGAAAGACCAAATACATTTCAGGCAAAAACATGGCTGAGCTTTTCAGGCCACTGATCTTTATTTCTATAGGTAAACTGTGTCCAAAGCTCATTTTGAACAGCAGCAAACAATTATAAAGTTTCGGTTGCTTATTGTCACTCTTGAGCCAACATAAATAAAAAATGCCTTTCCACCAAAGTAGGCTGTTAATTCTATTAACAGTAAGAAGTTAGCAAAAAGTAACAGAGCAGTTCTGGCTATTTAGGGACTATAGCCACAATAAAAGTCTTTGTACCAACTTTTTGGTGAATAAAGAGGCATTTCTTAGAAAAAAAGGGGATGCTGAGATGATATCAAATAGTGGCACTTTGAATTCAACATAAATGCAATCGTATGGTTTCCTTTATTTGCAATAACTAGTATATGTCTGAGACAAGCAGAAAAGGTCAGATGAGTTGATGTTAGGTGAAATGAACCCCAAGATAAGTATTCAAATGTCTTTTCTTTCATGTGATTGTTTCTAATGTATTTATAAGATGATTTCTTTGTTGCTTTGTATGTCCCTCCCCCACGGTATAACCCCTGCTTTCACTGTATTTGATGTTGGTATAATTTGTGGAGGGGAAGGGAAAAAACAAATCGTTTAAATAGAGATACAGGTGGACCCATTGCAACAATGAGATGTACAAGACGTTATGTCTAAAAACGAACTTTACAACTTTGGCCCATGGGGAGGTTTTGGGGGGTGGGAAGGGTTTGGGGTGGGGGAGGATGGGAAGGGATAGGAAGGGGAAACAAAGGAATAGGCAACAATGCTTGATAAGAAATGTACTCATTATCTTGCCCATGTAATTGTAACTCCTCTGTATGGCATTTTCACAATTAAAAAACACACGCACACACACAAAACCCCCAAAACTTTCCTAGCTCTGAATAGCAGAAGTCTCTAAAAGGGATGCAGAGTACCTACATGGTCATTTCTTCCCAGTCACAGTTATTTTATTTTATTTTTTGTGCTGGAATTGGGGACTGAACTCAGCCTTTCATGCTTCCCCTTAGTTTTTACTCTCAAGCTTCTTTACCCTATCATTTGGACCACCTCTTCACTTTTAGCTTTTTGTTGGTTAATCAGAGATAACAGTCTCAGCTTTTTTTGCCTGGGCTAGCTTTTAACCTCCCTCCTCAGGAATCAGCGTCCTGAGTAGCTGGCTAGGACTGCAGGCATGTGTCACCAGCACCCGGATCTGTCACCCTTGAATATAATCATTTTACACATGCCCTTCTATTAGATCTTCAGTTTTTTGGAGTTGTTCTGTTTTTATTATTATTATTATTGGTATGTCGTGGGGCTTGAACTCTGGGCTTGGGTGTTGTCCCTTAGCTTTTCAGCTCAAGGCAAGCAATCTACCGCTTGAGACACAGCACCACTTCCAGATTTCTAGTGGTTTTATTGGAGATAAGAGTCTCATGGACTTTCCTGCCTGGACTGGCTTTGCACCAAGATCCTCAGATCTCAGCCTCCTGAGTAGCTAGGAATACAGGCGTGAGCCACCGACACCTGGTTGGAGTTGTTCTTGAATGAGCCATTCTCTAACCTTAGACATATTGAGGTGTATTAAGAGTTCTGTCTCTGGGAGTACTTTCGTGTGTGTGTGTGTGTGTGTGTGTGTGTGTGTGTGTGTGAGAGAGAGAGAGAGAGAGAGAGAGACAGAGAGAGAGAACGAGAGAGAACGAGAGAGCACCTGGGCTTGAACTCAGGGCCTCTCCCTCTTGTTTCTCTCTCACTCTTGACTGGCATTCAACCCCCTGAGATTCATCTCCACTTCTGTCTTTTTGATGGCCAATTGGAGATAAGTGTCTCAAGAAAATCAAGATTTTCTTGCCCCAACTGGCTTTGGTTGATAGTTCTCAGATCTCAGCCTCCTGATCAGCTAGGATTACAGGCATGGATACCCTGTGAATGCTTAGAATGTCCTCTGGCACCTTTTCTCTAGGGAAGATCAAGGAACTGTTCGGCAAGGACACCATCAACGATGCCACTGTGCTGGTGCTGGTGAACGCTGTTTACTTCAAGGCCAAATGGGAAAAAAGCTTTGACTGTGAAAACACAGTTGATGCCCCTTTCTCGCTAAATGAGGTACTGTATGAGCGCCTGCGGTATTCCAGCCAGTCCACCTGTTAGCCCTCCCGGCAAATTTACAATAGGTCCACTCAAATCTACAGCTTTTAGCTTTCTAGTTTAAGCTTGCATTTATGATAAGAACATTTTGTGATGAACTGTAGTCAGTACCTCATGTTCAGTGACATGTCTGAGCTTGCTGTTCTGTGGTATGCATGTATTTCAGAATATCATGTACATGGTAAGTAGGTACACGTTTTGTTAAGCAATTAGAAATGAATACATTTACCAAATCAAATTGGCATCCTTGTCTTAAACTCAGAGAAGTGAGAGGGCTTCATATTTTCTCCGAGTTTAGTTTTCCTGTTCTGTTTCCTTGCAGTGTCTTCTTTCTTTGCTCCATTCCTCTGACGTGTATCCCCCGCCACCCTCACGTCAGAGACTCAAGCCAGCCCAAGGCCAGGGCTCGTGGGAGAAGTACTCTGTGGTTACGTGGGCAATTCTTGTACCTAAGGGAGGAGACCACCCAAGTGTCACCCTGAATGCAATCCTTATGTTATTTCATTTATTCTCCAAAAGAATATTATGAAATGGCTGTTACTATTTCCACTGAGAATTTGAGAGAAATTTTTTTTACAAAGGCTAATTTACTTAGCTATGCCATAGAAGTCACATCTCTGTTCATTCTAAACCCCAACCAACCACTGGGTACTTGGTTTAGCTTTATCACAGTGCACATATTTTTTCCCCTGTCAAATGGTGACTATCCTCAGCTGTCTATTGGGGACCTCTCAAAGTTCAAGGTTATTATGAAATATAAGGTGTCCAGGGTAGGGCCTTTTCTTCCAAAGAAAGCCTATGTAATAGTAGGTGCTATTATTCAATATGTAGATGATTACCTTTTCACTATGGCTTCCCTTGGTGCTGTGGATGGGCTGTCTAGGCCGCAGACATAGTGATGTGGAGCTAGGTGCTGGTTGAAGCTAGAAGTTGGGGGGTGGAGCCAGCATTGAAGATGGGACGCTTGCTGGCCTTGCTTTGGCTGACAAAGTTATGGGAGATGTTTGGGTGAAAAGACCACTAATACCTAGTCTTCAGCAAGATGGATTAGAGGCATGGAGAGATGAAGTGTTTAGCAAGGCAAGGGCTGGCTGACCACAGGCAGAGGCCTCTCAGGCTGGGGCATTGGTGTGGCTCCACACTTCTGGTGCAGATCTTTCTCATCTTAGAGAAGGGAAGCAGGGCTTGGATTTTGTTAGCTATATATAACCACCTGTGACTTCTTGCTTGTTCACTGCAGAATGAGAAAAAGAGTGTAAAGATGATGAATCAGAAGGGTCAGTTTAGAATTGGCTTCATTGAGGAGCTGCAGGCCCAGATTCTGGAAATGCGGTACCATATGGGGAAGCTCAGCATGTTTGTCCTGCTGCCACCTTGTTCACAGGACAACACGAAGGGACTCCAAGAGGTAAGGCGTCCTTGTCACACCTATGCCACAGTTTCATTCCGGATCGCCAGAGAACAACGTGATCATTTACCATCCTAAGGGCTAGAGTCCAGCTATCAGTCATATCCAGGGCTATATAGAAATGTGGGTGAGATTAGATATATATGTCTTACTTGTCCAAACCTAAAGAACAAATGCGAAAAAACATAACAAGGAATAGGAGTTTGTCTTCAAAAATCCACAGATTTCTGCAATCAATTTTTTCCAGTGTGATACTGAGTAACTTTGAAATTTCTATAAATGAAACAGCTGTCTTTTTCCTGAAGATGTTCACTTCTGCCCTTAATCAGACAGTTTCATCATACTTGAGTTCAAGACTTTTGGCTACATTATTTTTGTTGTAAAGATGATGTACAGAGGGTTACAGTTATGTAAGTCAGGTAATAAGTACACTTCTTTTTGAACAGTGTTATCCCTTCCTCATTTTCTCCCAGTTTTCCCTCCCAACCTCCCTCCCCCCAAGTTATAAAGTTCATTTCCAATAGTGTCTAGTGAGTATCACCACAGAATTAGTTCACCCTTTGCCACATCATTTCTGTGATTCTCTGTGAGAGTACATTTACACTGATAGAAGTAAGAGCAAGAATTAATGAAGGCTAGGGAGGTGCATTGCATATTGTCCTAAGAAATAAAGGATAGATATGAGAAAAAGAATGAGAGAGAGAGAAACTGAGAGCACTCAGTATGTTAATTATAATAACAATACTGTAACAGCCATTATTTAAAATTTACCATATGCCAACATTATTCTATGCATATTAAATATTTTATGTATATTATTTGTTTAATCTTTGCAAGAGTTCAATCATATCATCTTTGTTGGGTAGAGAATATTCACATTTGTTTAAGCTTACCCAGTGAGCTGTGCAGTTCTCTGAACACAAGGTTGTCAAATGCTGGAACCCAGATTGTCCTATAGGTTTTACAGAGGAAACAGATTTTCTCAATGGAGTTTTATTTATTCATCTTCCTAGGGTTTTATTAGTTGATTTGTTAATTTTTAACTATTTTTATTATCTTTAAGTAGTTATACAAGGAAGTTAACGTCTGACAAAGCAGTTTATGAATATAATGCATCTTGATCAATGTCACCCCTTTCAACCTTCTCACCCATCCCTCCCAACCCCACTCTTCCTTCAGTTTTCTTATTTTTATTAAGACTATATATGGATTTTTTTTTGCCAGTCCTGGCACTTGAACTCAGGGCCTGGGCACTGTCCCCAAGCTTCTTTCACTCAAGGTTAGCTCTCTACCACTTGAGCCACAGCACCACTTCTGTTTTTTTCTGCTTATGTGGTACTGAGGAATTGAACCCAGGGCTTCATGCTAGGTAAGCACTCTACCACTAAGCCACATTCCCAACCCATATATATGGAAGTTTTGAGCACACCATCCTTCTCCCCTTGATTTGTCTACCCCTTTTGCTTTACTCCTCTCCAGCCCCTTCAAGTTACCAGTTTCCTGGTGTTCATTTTGTTGAACCATGATTCTGCTTTTCTAGGAAATTATAGTGTTTGAATTCTCCCCTAAATCTACTGTATTCCAATTAATACATTTATGTACACTTGCACACCACCCAAGTTATTTACTTGTTTCCCCTTACCATCCTTGCCCCCCCCTCCAAAGTTGTAAAGTTTGTTTTTCAACATAGCATCTTGTACATTTCATTGTGGCAATGGGTCCACCAGTATCCCTATTTAAACAATTTACTTTTTTCCCTTTTCTTCCCCAAATTATACCAACATCAAATACAGTGAAAACAGGGGTTATTCATTTTGTTAAACTCTGAGTTAGTTGTTCACAAGAGTTGAGTGGCTGTATTTAAATAACTGCTAAAATGAATTTAGGTACTTTGAAATAATTGAGCCATTCTTTGTAGGATTGTGACCTAACTCTACCTATTATATTCTTCCTCTTGTAGCTTGAAAAGCACATAAGCTATGAAAAAATAGTAGCCTGGAGCAGCCCAGAAAACATGTCAGAAGAATCAGTGTCTGTCTCCTTCCCCCAGTTCACCATGGAAAATACCTATGACCTCAATTCTACTCTGTACAACATGGGCATTACAGATATCTTTGATGAGACGAAGGCTGATCTCACTGGAATCTCTCCAAGTCCTAAGCTGTACCTGTCCAAAGTGATCCACAAGACCTTTGTGGAGGTGGATGAAATTGGTACACAGGCAGCTGCAGCCAGTGGGGCTGTTGGCATGGAAAGATCACGGCCATCTTGGGTGGAGTTCAATGCCAACCATCCTTTTCTCTTTTTTATCAAACACAATGAAACCCATACAATTCTTTTCTATGGCAGGGTTTGCTCTCCTTGAAAGGGACACAATGTCTAGTACTTGGGTACAAGAGGAAAACACAATGCAGTCTTCCCGTAGCATCAATCATGGTTCCTTGTGTTTCTGATAATATCTAAAGATGATCCAATTCTCTCTTCACTTTATGATCCCTATCACCCTTAGTTTCTCTTGATCCTCCTGTCACCCTGAAACTGATTCTCGTCTGTTGGTATTGACGCACCCTTTATCTCCTTTCTAACCTTTAAGACCTTCAGCTGTCAAAAATATGTCAGCCTGTGGGGGCTGGATGTGATGGTTTATATCCATAGTCCCAGCTACTTTGGAGAGTTGAGAGTCAAGGCTAAGCTAGGCAAAACCTTAGTGAGATTCTCTCTGCTGAATATCTTAACCAATGCATGGGTATGGTGGCTTATGCCTGTCATCCCAGCTCTGTGGGAGACACAGGTAGGAAGATCATGATCTAAGGCCAGCCGTAGGCAAAAAGGTACTTTATCTGAAATTTCAGTAAAGACAAAGGGGCTGAGGTCTTTTCCAAGTGGTAGACTTGCTCTCCAAGGGTGAAGCCTTAAGTTCAAACCACAGTACCACCAAAACAAATCAAATGCATTTTGTTGTTCATCCTGGGTGACTTGAAAATCAGTTGATATATAGACTGGTATTGATTTTGTTGATCTACTTCCTTTGGAAGAAATCCTTAAAGTTTATTAGCCTGCCTCTCTGGGATGGCAAACTCAGAAATCACTTTAACACCTATGGCAAGAGATAGTGTTTGACTGGAATGTGTTTGGGAAACCCGGCTGTGTTGCTGGGCAGTGATAATCATGGCCCACCTTGGGTAAGGTGCCGGCTTCTTCCCCTAACGTCTTCTGCGGCAAGGATGTGGGAGATGGCAGGGGGTGTGGAAGTATTAAGACTTGCTCAAGGAGATATGATTCCCCCAAGCAGCATTCATTTTGAGTACAACAGTGAACTGTCATTTGTATTACCAATTGGACAATGAGCCCGCAAGGTGACAAGTGGATTTTCCAGGAAAGGTGTCTCTCAGTTTTCCATGTTGCATCATTACTGTAAGACATCATCAGGTAACATTTCCCTCTGTCTTTTCACTCCCTTCCCCAGAGAGTTTCCATCTGTGGCTAGGTGTTCCTAAAAACCCAGCATGTTCCACCAGGGTGGAAGCGGGGCTCCGCATTCCTCACTCTCTCTGGACCCCTTTGCCATTCTCCAAGAGGCCTTCTGCCTGGACACACTGTGAGAGTTCCTCTCATGGACACGGTGCATGTGCAAACCCTTTCCAAGGTGGCTGCTTCCATCAACTCCACACCACTGAACGCCTGACCCCCCGCTGTATTCAGACGCTTGGTCCTCCGGCTTTGTCTCTGATTCAACGATCTGAGTTCCTCCTCTGAGCCCACATTAAATGATTTGGAATGACGATTGCCCAGCCCATCTAACTCAAGGAATTGGCCAGTTTCTTTTTTGCCAAGGTGAATTTCTGATCTTGGTTGTGGTCCCATTTCGCTGCTCTTCCTGATGACAATCCTCCCAGCTGCCACTGTGCTGGTTCAGGGAGGCTGCAGCAAGTTTTGCGGGACTCATTAGGGTTAACATTCCCCTTTTCTTCTTTAGCAATATTGGGGATTGAATTGAGGGTTTTCACTTGCTTCTTAGGGTCCAGAACTCTACCACTTGAGCTACACTCCTAGAGCTTTTGAATTTAGTTTGTTTTTCAGGTAAGGTTTCAAGCAACTTTCCTGGGGCTGGCCTCCAACTGTATTCCTCCTGTCTCCACCTCTCAGGTAGCCAGGTCAATAGTTAACTATATGACCCAATGGTGGGCTCTTTACCATCCCTAGTGGCTTCGTTCTGCTATGAGAGACACATTTCAGGCCCACAGATGGGAATGGAGATCACAGCCTTCTCATGGACTAATCTCTTTTATGGAATAAAACAATGTGTCTTTGGATTGTTTGGCAGTTTTGGGGGAAAAGGAAATTCGGACCCTCGTTTTCTGGCCCTGGCAAGGTTTACCTTCCAGTATGACTGCCAGAGGCAGAATGAGGACTCAGCTGCAATTGCTAGAAAACCCACCCGATCCTGGAGACTGGTAGGGGAATGAGCTCCTGGGTCTTTCAGTTCAAAGTTCCCTTTATCCCAGCAATGTTAACAGGTAGAATAAATGAGGTAATTCAGATTCAAAAGCAATGGCTTCCTTTCTGCTGACCATAAATATTCTGTCAAGGGACCCATGGCTGTATAGAAGCTAACAGGATCTCTTGTAGCTGCTAACTTACAGAATTGTGTGTGTGTGTTCAATTTTATTTCTACCTAAAACTTTCTTATAATTTCACATATTGTCTAATTCATATTTCCCCTTGCTCTCCTCTCCTGTTTTGCCCTTATCTGGGGCAAGTCAGAACATGTTGCTTCATCCCTAATTACTGTTTACTTCTGTGGCATGCATGGTATTAAAAAGATCACAGTATCAATAACCCAAGACAGAGGTCCAACTGGGCCTGCAGGGTGCTCTGTAGCTGAATGACAACTCCAAAATTAGTCTTTATCCCCATGGCTCATGTTATTGTCTTATTCCCCCCAATCCATTTGTCATCCTTTTCTTCTTAATCAAAATAATCCAAATCATTTTTCTTTGTATTCAATAAAAATACTAAAAAAATCAAATATTTATACCTCTTACTGAAGTGCTCAGTCTGGAGACTTAATTTATAAGATTCCATATTTGATTATAGTAAGTTTCCATTTTAATAACATTCCCTGGGGCATTCCTCAGTGTCTTAGCCAAGGATGCGTGAGGGGGCTGGCACAGCCATGTGATGCAGAATGGGGGGAAGAGGGGAGAAATCCACACAGCCATCCTCAGCACACACAGGCTCCAACAGATCATCTCCTGTTCAAGGAGAAAAGAGGGGGAAACGTAGGTTATGAAGAAAAATAGTGCTTAAGAAAGACATATTCTACTCTAGACACAAAAGAGAAACATCATAAAATGATTCAAGGCAGGGAGTGGAAGAAAATTTTAGAAAAAAAATTGGTATGCTTAGTAAGACTTATGTCAACATGATATCTGTGGAACTCTGAAGATAAAATGTGCAGAGATATAAGAAGACAGCTACGAAATAAAAATGCAACCAAGTGATTTAGATAGACTTTAAAGGTAGTAAGTAGATAACTGGCATACTGGAAATTTAATTAGTGATAGGCCTATTTTTTATTCAGATACACAGGAAATAGTAAAAAAAAGTTGGTAGATACAAAGAGAACATAGGAATTAATTCCAAGTGTTCTGTTGCTCCTGAGGAAGAACATAGATAAATTGGTATAGAATCAATAATCAAAATATAGTGGAAGAAAAGCTTAACTTGAACAAGTTGCTTGATACACTTACTGAGTTCCATGAAAAAAATCAAATAATAATACAAATATTAACACATTAATAACAATACTATTAAATGAATAATAAACAAAGAAAATGGCTATGACAAGAACTTGATAAACAAAGTTTGGAAAAATAATCCTAACAGAATCCCAGCTGTCAAGAAAACAACTTATGTTTAAAGGATAAAATAATTTGACCTTAAACATTTATGTTCAGGTTCTGAAATAAAGAAGATTAGTGTATAGGTTTGAAGGGAATGTATACAATTAAAGAATCTTATACTCTTAAGTCAGCTTTCTTGTGCAAATACAACAGAAAATTATTTTCAAATACATTCCTATGCATAGGTAGGTATGTTGAATCTCTAGCAACTGGCACTGCTGCAAACATCACAAAAATTACAATTCAATGCATCTTGTTTTGAGAAAATTAAATGCAAAGACAGCAAAATTCAGTAAAGAAACTCCTTCAATAAAAATATGTGCTTAGTTCACAATCAAAAGAAGAAGAGGCACTCCTTATTTGGAATTTTCACTGCATGTAAGAGCTGTTGACATTTATGACTCTTTTCATTATAATGCTGGACTTGCATGAGATGAATTTTGTTCTTAAGCATGAGACTGCAACTATGAATTATCTGAACTGGAATCTTAATAACAGTTCATCCTTATTGCACTTATTATGTGGCAGCATTGGTTGAACCTTCACGTTCATTAACCCATTTAATTCTCTCAGTCACTCTGAGAGCTAGGTTGATATATAACCACTACTTTTGCATCTTTTCAAGTAGAATTAAAGACTACAAGGAGTCATTTGTTTTCATTTGTTTATTCTACAGATGTGAATTTTGAGAGCCCAAAACTTGTCTAGGATAAAGCTTATGGTTTTGGGTTCCTGTATGTGAGAAAAAGCAGTTTTTTTTTTCTCTCCACCCAAGTGTTCCATCTTGCAACCAGTTGCAATTGTATACTGATATTTCCTGGAATTTTTTCCATCTTGACTTAACACTGTAACTGCCAGGTATGTTGCTGTGACCAGCCAACCATGTCAGAAGTATGGATCTCTGTCAATGAAGTTAAAGATTAAGAGTTCTCCACTGGAGCAGGAACTTTCCACTGACTTTCCCATCATTTTCTGACATCGGAGAGTCTGTGTTTCAAATACATAAAAGGTTTCTAAGCCACTAAGTACACATCTCCAGCCCTTCCCTGTCCTAACTTGCCAAAGCAGGCTGTGGTATATTCCAAATCTGAATTTCATTGATATTCTAATGAAAATTCTCAGATGTAAAGTTAGGCCTCTAATCTAGACCTGCAAAATGCTTGAAGAAAATGACCACACAGAAGATCAGCCTCAACAGAGCTAAAGGCTTTTCCATGTTATTTATCTTTTCCAAATAATTAACACTTTGTTTCACTTATTCTTTGTATTGTTCTGTCTTGATCTTTATTATTTCTTTCCATCTATGGCTTTTAGGTTTGGCTTCTAAAAGCTTGAGGTTACTTATTTTTGACCTCTGATTTTTTTTTTAACCTAGGCACTCACAGCTATAAACACTCCACTTACCATTGCTTTGCAGTGTTCCCCAAATTCTTCTAAGTTTCAATTTCAATTTTTTATTTGATTCTAGGAATTTTGACTACTTTTTTTAGTTCTTGGATGACCCACTGATTATTCAGAAGTGAATTTCTCAGTCTCCTGATTTTGAATATTTTCTGTATTTTCTCTTATTATTTTACCTTTATTTCATCTAGTGGTCTGATAAAATAAAGTAAGTGAATTCCATTTTCTTATTAAGAATTGCTTTCTGACCTATAACACAATCTACTGTAATAAAAATTCTGTGGGATTCTGAGAAAAATATGTGTTCTTTGGCTGTTGGGAGAAATATTCTGTATGTGAGTTAAATCCATTTGGTCGCTTCAGTGAAAACTATAAATCCTTGAAGAAGAAATTGAAAAAGACACCAGGAGATAGACAGCCATTTCATGCTCATGGACTGACAAATCAATATGATGAAAGTGGCTCTGCTGATGAAAACTGTCTCCCGGAATGGAACTCCAATCGCTCAGCAAATACTGAGGTTTGGCAAGTGAAGTGGCATTAACTAAAAACCTTCTGTACAACAAAGGAAATAGTTATGAGGCAGAAGAGATAGAATGGAGAAAAAATTTTCCAGGTATACATCTGACAATGGATAAATAATCAAAATATACAAAACCCAAACTCCCAAAGAATCAACAATCCAATTAATAATTGAGACAATGAACTGAATATACAATTGAAGGAAGTTCAAATGACCAAGAAATACATACCCAAAGTACTCAACATAGCTGACCATATAAGAAATCCAATGTTCCTTTTAGTATATCCAACTGCATGGTCGGACAAAGGTATTCATGAGATCTGGGAGATTTGTGGCGGAATTGTTCAGGTTAGGTATCTGCAAACATGAATCTGCTAATTTTGGCTTTCGTTTATTGCTGCTTTTCTGGGAACTTTATTTGAGATCTATTTTCGGATATCTATTTATTTGATACCTATTTTTTGGGTGTAGGTACTTATAGTGGTTAACTCTCCTGTTGTCACTGTATATGAACACGAGAAACATTTTGTCTTACTATTTTATTATTTTTCCTCATACTGTTTGGGAAAGTTTGATTTTCTTTTGTAGCCCTTCCTTTTACATCATCCCATGAATATGATGACTTCACACTACATGTTTCCTTTCTTAGGTTTTTGTTTCTTTTTAGCTTGTCCTGGAGCTAGAACTAAGGGCCTTGGCTCTGTCCCTTACCTTTTTTTTTTTTTTTTCTTTCTTGAAGATGGCACTCTACCACTTGGACCCATATTCACTTCCAGCTTTTCTGGCAATAAATTGGAAATAAGAGTCTCACAGACTTTCCTGCCCAAGCAGACTTTGAACCACAATCCTTTTATCTCAGCCTCCTGAGCAGTCAGGGTTACAAGTGTGAGCCTACTAGTGCCTTGGCTTTTTACCTAGCTTTTCATAGTGTTCAACTTGCTGTGATATGAAAACCTTGGTTTTGACTGTGAGTTTTGTTAAATATTGTTCTACTGGTTTGTATGTTGTTCACAAGAATTCAAATGTCAATCTCATATACTTTATAATGAATGACTTGATCTCTTTCTTATTCCTCTCCTCTCCCTTTTCTTTCTCTTTCTTAGTATATGTTGAAGATTTACTGTCTTAGACTTTATTATGTAGGATCAATTTGCCTAGGTACATTTTCCCAGGTGTGTATATATAGATATATATATATAATATATTATATACACACATGTACATACACACATATGTATATATACATGGGGAGAGAAAGTATATATCTTCAGTATTATATGGATATAGATAAACATGTTCAAACCCGATTCATTCATTTCATTTTAAAATGACTTCTTGAAGGTAGACTTAAGTATTTTTGTTCTGTATTTGTATTTCAGAGACCAATAACATGTCTTTTAGCTTTATTTTTGGTCTCAGTTTCCGTCCTTTCTACTTGATCTTTCAAAAAACACTTTCCTTTATTTTGGTTCCATTCTCTGAGTTATTTCTGTATCTCCTCTCTGTCAACTCTTGGACTTTATCTTGCAGACAACTTGTTATTTCATATCATTTCTGTGATGATGTTTGTCATTTCTGTAATTTTTCTTTCTTGAATTGAGACAAATATAATTACATAGCTTTGTTTTTATTGTTATTCATGTCTATTCTGAAAGTATGTTTGGAACATTCGTCATGTTCACAATTACTTTTCAAATAATGTCTTCTCCATAAGACAGTGTTGTGTTGCAGCCTTTCCTCATCGGTGATTTATTGGACAGGATTTTCAGCAGTTGAAATTTTTGATTGCACTATTTTTTCTTTTTTTTAGATTTGAATACAACATTTTATAAACAGTCATAGAGGTATAGACAAAACCAAAATCCACATAGACTAAGGCCTCAAATTTATTTAAATTAAGTTAAAGAAACTAATCATACCTATTCATTTCACTGTTTATTTATTTTGCTGGTTGCAGGGCCTAAACTCTGGGCCTGGGCGCTGGCGCTGTGGCTCAAGTAGCACTATTTTCTTCTTATAGCAGAGTTTCATATTTTTAGTCACCTTTTTCCATGCGTACAAAAATGTGTGGAATAATCTTACTAAAAGTGACTTGCAATCTTTTGAGGGTGATTGGGCACCTCCTTCTGCTTTCTTGGTTTAA